CAGCAGAAATGATTCCGTTTGCACCATGGTCGTTATTTCCTGCTGCTTAAATCTGTGCTGTAGTGCTATAAAAATTAGTCTCGCGTAGCCAGACATTCAGACTGACGGCTGAAGGTCTGGAATTCATGGCAGCTTCTTCGTCAAACAACCAATCACAGTTAGTTTCATTCGCAGCACGTTTCGGGGCATGGAAATGCTGCCTCAATAACAGACCGGTGTGTAAAACTCTCGGACGTATTTGAAAGATTCTGTGCCGCAAACTTAAATATTTTACATACTTTGAGAATCCAGCGTTTAGTTGATCCTGATTTATAAAATTAAGATACAGCTTGCGATTCTCTCCGAAAACAGCCAAGCTCCTGGAGGCGAGCCGTGGCGGAGCTGAAGAGTCGCGAGCACTTACACTTACTAACCATCACAGACATTTGATGCAGTTTTACACAGTTCTTATATGACCGGGATCTTTGATTGCTGGGGCTTCTCCATCTTCCAGACACTGTGCAAATCCAGTGTCAGAATGTACCTCGTTATAAAACATTTGTCACCGAAATGACGGGAACAAATAAAGCCGCTTGAGAAAGTCCGTTGCTGCCTTGGAAAAACAAATTGCATCCACGGTTCACATAACACTGAATAAGGTTATCTTTCCTCACATCCAAAAACACACTCTTTAGAGATATTAGGCTTGTTTTTTTTATTTTATTTATTGGTTTATTTAATAGGGACCATGCATATTCATGAACATTGTTGTATAAATATACACCATGTAAATATGCCAGAATTAGTAACAATAACTACTTTTCATCTGCAGTCCCTAGGCAGGTAACATAAAACTAACATAAAGACAGCCAACAATAATACAACATTCATTCACTATAAATGAAAAGATACACATAATGGTGACATATACATTGACAACAAACAACAAAACAAACAAAAATACATGATGGAGAAGACATTGTTCATCCACCTCTATACTGCATTCAATTTAACAGTGAAAGTGTATGAGTGATAAATGTGTGACAATTAAAAATGAATATTAATATTTAAAAATATATAAATTGACACTTTTTAAAAACACTTTTTAATCTATTTTTATATCATTTTAATCAACGTTTTATTTAAATTGTCCTGTGTTTCACTTAAATAGTCCCATATGTATGTATGTATGTATAAATAAATAAATATTCAGTTTAGTCTCTCAATTAATGTGAGGTCACAAAAACTGCATGTATAATAATTATACAATATTAGAAAAATGTTTTTAAATATGTTTTAAATATATAATAGGCCTATTATCAAGATAAACTGGCCACCCCATTTTCTGTTTTATTAATAATATATGCACGCTGGTCTGTTGTCCCAAATATTGCTAAACCATTTTAAAGTCATAACTTGCACATTAAACTTTCATTTAATATGCATTGATGTAATTCAGAGAGAAATTAGGAGGCATGGGGGAACTTTTGGAAGTAAAACAGCAACATGAAAACAGCAAATCAGCTAAATGCACTCAATTACAAATGGTTTAAAAATGTTCTAAGCTGAGAAAGCAGCACATTTTGCTATTCTAATGGAATTCCTAAACAGGGCACTGTGATCTAAGTGTATTGAGCAAAATGTGTGTCCTAAACCTTGACCTTGCTGCCGGACACACTGTCCCTCGAGAGCTAAATGAGCAAAGAGACCACAATGATTCATTACATCCCTCTCTTGCACAGCATATCATATATCCATCTGCTTTTGCCCTATCATCTGCACAAGCATATTTACATACTGTTACCATATGCAGGTACATGGCTATTTGACCATAAAATTCTGATTTACCTTCACTCCCCAAATTCTGGAAAGGATGTTATGTAAGTACTTATATAGTTATATAACCTTGCGGATGAGAAATAGGAGGAGATGTCCCATATCAAACAAACACTTTCTGACTTTGAGCCACTGTTTTCCATCACAGTTTCTACAAAAGCATTTAACTTAATGCAGGATACACGAACCAGATAGTTTACAATTAGCACGACCACAGAATGCGGCAGGATATGATTGCGGCATGACTGGTTTATAAAAATTTCCAAAGTAAATTTCCAAAATGTAACTTTCATTTAAAATATGATAAGATTCTCCTGTCTATTTTTATGTACTATTAGTAACTAGCAAGCAACTGGTTATGTTGTTTATATAATGTTATATTGTTTAGATCATCTTTATAGATAGATAGATAGATAGATAGATAGATAGATAGATAGACAGACAGATAGATAGATAGATAGATAGATAGATATTGAAGAAACATTTTTCATTATTATTATCAGAATATTTATATATCTAAGAATCTTTGATGGATACAAAGTTCCAAAGAGCAGAATTTATTTGGAAAATAAGTATTTTGTAATTATACATGTCTTGTCACTTATGATCAGTTTAATTCAAACTTGCAGAATAAAGTATTTATTTAAAACAATCTTACTGACCCCAAACCTTAAAACAGTATTGTGTGTATAAAGGCTTAAATAAAATGTTATATTTGAGTTTAGTGTTCATTTTTATATTCATTCATGTTTGGATATTGATCTTTTGGCTTTTGATTTTAGTTCAACAATCCACAAATACAAAAGACAAAAAGACAAAATAATAATAATAATAATCAAGAACTTGCCATATACTGCAAGTAGCAGCATTTATGTAATCTAAAACTGAATGTCAGCTATAACACTTGATATACACTTAATATATGAGCCAACTGCATATAACTGACCACAGTGAAACCGCGACCACAATTTCCTGGAGTACTGCTAAAGAAAGCTAAAAGCCCCCCAGAACTTTTCCAACGGAGGAGGATGTTGCTGTGTTCTTCTTACATCACTCACAACCAGGAACATTCTGTTCTTTAAAACAGCTGAATTCCTCCAAAAAGATAAAGTCAGGGAACCACCTCTGACCTTCACAGTATTTAGGCAGCTGTAAAACTTATAACTTTGACAGGTTTGGTTGCGCCAGAATGGGAGCTGGATGTTTTTCAGTCAAGTGCAATCTTGTTCATGATGGCTCTCTAGGGCCTTTTGGATGATACCACACATAAAGACCATCAGAGAACACTCAAAGATGAAAAAGATAGCACATTCTGCACTAAATCTGTTCTGAAAACAGTCCTGATGCATTAAAATCTGCGATATGAGCAGTCTCACCCTTTCTTTATTATCCTTCATCAACAGAATTATGACGTTGGATAAAAACAAGTACGAACTTCTTAAGATCACGCACATATGTTTTGGGTACCAGTTATTTTTATGAGCATGGTGATACTTAAAATACCATTCTAACCATAGTCTGTCTGCTGGCTTGAGGAGAACCATCTGTGGTACCGTCACGTTCATTCCTCCAGGCCCCTCGCTGTCCCTGCAGAGTCGATGGGTTGCAGGAATTCCAGGTCCTTGATCCATGCTGGGGCCTTTACTGAGAACATTTGAGCCAGTGGAATTTCCTCTTGCGCAGCCCGCTAAGCCAAAGGATTCCTCAAGATCAGCTAAACAGTGAGGAGGCACGTGCATCTCCCTGTGCTTGTGAAACAGACAGAGAGAAAGTAAACAGTAAAACATGCAGAGAGCATGAAGCAGGAGAGTAAGACTGCTTATGAGAGGAAGATTATTAAATGCAGAAATATTTAAAAATGTAGTTGAATATTCAAAAGTTTGGGGTCAGTCAGATTTTAAAAAGCATAAAAAAAAGACTTTTATTTAGTAGGATACATAAAATTTCTTTAAAAAAGACATTCATAATGTTACAAAAGATTTTATATTTTAAACTCTATAAACAGATGAACATAGCTGTTACTGTAAGAATAACTGCATATCATTCTTCATTTTTTAATTTATTGAAAATATATGCAAATACATATATTGGTGTTTATATTGAATATTTTCAGATAGCTTAAGATACATTTCTGTTAAAACGGTTCAGATCTTTGGGGTTAGTATGATTTTTTTTTTTTTAAGAAATTAATACATATTCAGCAAGGATACAATAAGTTGAACAAAATTGACAGTAAAAACATTTATAATGATAAAAAATATTTTTATTTCAAATAAATGCTGTTGATCTTTCTGTTCATTAAAGAATCCTGAATTTTTTTTATCATGGTTCACAAAAAAATATTAAGCAGTACAACTCTTTTCAGAATTTATAATAATAATAATAAACATAAATGTTTCTTTTGCACCAAATCAGCATATTAGATTAGATTTCTGAAGGAACATGTGACTCTTAAGACTGGAGTTGTTTTTAATTGTGATAATATTTTTTTTCACTATATTTTTGATCCAATGAACGCAGCCTTGGAAACATTAGAAACTTAAAGTATATGCTGAGAAAACCAAGCTAAAGTCACTTATGCAATAGTTCAAGATCTCTAAACTATGCGAACATAAGCAAACAATGAAATACTATGTTTATCCCAATTCAAGAGTGTTGCACAAGACAGGATGTTTGACAGGGACAGCCTACCATAGTTTATTCACAGGACATAGTGTTCTCAGTGTAAAGAGTTATCTGTGAAATTGCATACTGTATATATAAACATACAGTAGCCTCAGTAAGTATTTGGACACTTTAGTCACTTAAAACTTCTAAATGTCATTACAGTAGATACAAAATATATGTATCATCATACAAATGATGCTCTTCGTTGGAATAGATTTGGAGAAATTTAACATTACATCATTTATTCACCAACAGATCCTCTGCAGTGAATGGGTGCCGTCAGAATCAAGAGTCCAAACAGCTGATAAAAACATCACAATAATCCACAAGTAATCCACATTACTCCAGTCCATCAAGTAACATCTTGTGAAGTGAAAAACTACATGTTTGTTGAAATAAATCCACCATTATCCATCAGGTTTTAACTTCAAACTGTTGCTTCCAGCTAAAATATGAGTGCCCTATCTATACTATTGCTTTTTCCAGTGAAAAAGTTGTCTCGTTTAAATGAGGAGTGAAATATGCACTGATCAAGCACCGTTTAAAAGGGAAAACAGTCCAAAACAGTTCTAAATAAATATTTTAGTGCATTTTCATGTGAGAGGACAACAGGGGATGGACTTTTTCACTGGAGGAAATGTTATTATGAATTATGGACTGGTATTTTGGCCAGAAGTGAAGGTTTAAAATTAATACGTACCTTAATGATGGATTTGTTTCTTACATACTTGCAGCTTTTTGCTTCACATGTTGATTGATGGACTGGAGTCGTGTGGATTATTGTTGTTTTTGTCAGCTGTTTGGACTCTCATTCTGACGGCACCCATTCACTTCAGAGGATCCATTGATGAGCAAGTGAAGCAATGCTAAATTTTCAGTGAAGAAACAAACTCATCTACATGTTGGATGGCCTGACGGTGAGAACATTTTCAGCAAATGTAAATTTTTGGGAGAACTAGTCCTTTAAAACCTTTTGCACAAAATTTGGTGTTAGATTTAACAGTACATACATCTTGAAACAGCTTTAAACTTCAGTGACTTTTTACAGACACCTTTGTGGTGCAACCACTATTTCTAACAAACACAGAAAGATATTTGCGTCAACAAATCAGTGAAGTTCTTTAAATAAACCAGTGAGAGAAGAAACTTTGCTGGCTTTGTTGCTATCTTCTCTCTTCCTCTTTCATTCTGTGTCATTACATCTGGCTGCCAAGAAGTAAGCAGAATGAAAAATGTATTTTCCCCCTCCTCTGTTTTCCTTCGGGCAGAACACTCTCTGACCACATGAACCACACAAGGACTCTAAACAGAGGCCAAAAAAAAGGCCAGGTATCAAAGACAGGCTAAAGGAACAGAGAAGGACTCTCGTGGGACAGGGAATTGTGTCCCTAAACTAGAAGTTCAAAGGTCAACTGAGCGCTTAAGAGCTAAAATGACTATATTCCTTCATAGGAAACTACAGCACAGTATTGGCATGTAGCAGCAATGCTCACTACTAAATCAATGCATTAGAAAAACCTTTAATAAAATAAATAAAAACAGAGGCTGGGCATGGGACCTAAAGTCTAAATGGAGCTTCTAGTGTAATAATGCAGCTAAAAAGTATAACTGTGAAATGTTATTAACAGTGCAAAGAAAGTGTACATGTCGCCCTCTGTTGGATATCATGAGAAATTCAGTTCAGTTGACTTCCAAACAAGTTCAAGTGTCATGGAAACACTTTGGAATACTTAAATAAATGAACTTTTCCACGACATTCTAATTTATTGAGATGCACCTGTACTGAAGCTAAGAATTAGAAAACAACTTCAAAAGCAGAAAAATTACCAATTGTCTTTTAATCCTACTTTTTTTCTTCTGTAAACCTGAATTAAAAATATACAACAAAAATGTAATGTAATCAATTAAAAACATGCTTAATATTGTACATTATTTTCCTTTGCATAAAAACATTATTTTTCTGGACTCTGCATTTGTGACTGTGGCCAGGTTAGCAAAAAGGTAAAATTAATACTCTTGCATATACTGAAGTATTTGGCTGTTGTGTTTGGCAAAAACCTGTAGAGTTTTTTTTTTTTTCTACTTCAGGATTAAATGTAAACTATATAAAACATACAAATATTTATACTGCGGTATTTCAGTGAAATTATCTCCAGTGCAATTATGTGTCAGCATTAATGCTGGCTAGTGACATGCTTTGCTTGAAAAAAATACTACTAATACAAAATAAAGGTACTACAATCACATACATACAGATTTATACCCAAATCTTCAACTCAAATTGCAGAATGATGCAGGTCTGCCAATAGTTCAGTTGTGCCTAGTTAAACCGTGCCAGGCATTAGCACACAACAGGCTGATAAGCTAAAACTAAACAGTACACTCACAAAAATAGTCTGTATATGACATGGTACAAATAAAATGTAAAGCCTTGATGATGTAAAAATAAGCAATCTCAGAGAGCCGTCTCTTTAGATTCTGCCACCGCTGGTGATGGATGGAAGGTCAGAATTTCTGTGAAGGTGAGTTCTGGGGTCAAGGAGGGAACAGAAGGAACAGAAAAAAAGAAACTGGTTATATGTTAACTCTCCGGAATAAACTATAGCACATTTAAGAGTAAAATACAAACTAAATAATGGAACAGTTCACCAAAAAATGGTGCCATCAGAATGAGAGTTGACAGTTGACAGTTGACAAAAATGCAATAATCCACAAGTAATCAACATGATTCCAGTCAATCAATTAACATCTTGTAAACCTAAAAAAAATAGATGCTTTTAAGAAAAAAATCCATCATTATGATGTTTTAACTTTAATCCATCACTTCTGGGCAAAATAAGAATCCATAATCCATAATAACGCTTCCTCCAGTGGAATAAGTCCATCCCCTGTTGTCCTCTCACATCAAAATCCACTGACATATTTTTTGAGAACTTTTTTGGACTGTTTTCATTTCTAAATGGTGTTTGATTGTGCATATTTCTCTCCTGATTCAGACAGCACAATTGCTTTAACTGGAAAAAGCAATATTACGGACAAAGGACTTGTATTTTAACCAGAAGCAATGGGTTGAAGATAAAAATGTTTTTTTACAAATACACAGCTTTTCACAAGTTGTTAATTGTTGGACTTGGAGTCATGTGCATTACTTGTAAATTATTGTAATGTTTTTATCAGCTGTTTGGACTCTCATTCTGACGGCACCCATTCGCTGCAGAGGATCCATTGGTGAGCAAGAGATTTAATGCTACATTTCTCCAAATCTGTACTAATTAAGTAAAAAACTCATCTACAACTTGGATGGCCTGAGAGTGAATAAATTCTCAGCAAATATTCATTTTGGAGCGAAGTATTCTATGATTGCCTGTTTATATCATGAAACTTGTTAAAATTGGTTGCCTAATCCATTACACCATTGCTGTGAATTTAAAGTCATTTAAATCTACTTTTCCACTGCTCCACTGACTGCTCTGCCTCATCCAGAGAATGATCATATGGTGGGGCCTCGGTCTCCTCCTCTGGTTCACGAAACTCAGAGAAGAAAGGAAGAGCCAGTCCCTCTGCCGCTGTTATTCTACTTTCAGGGTCCAAGAGCAGCATGCTGTCTAACACATGAATCGCTGAGAAGGAAATCAACACAGAGTCAATGACAAAAAATTATGTGACATTCAAACTTGTCTTCATCAAATGCATTCATGAAAGAGGTGCTTAGATCAAATAGTAGTTCATGCATTCCTTGGGAAACAAACTCATCACAGTCATGGGTTCAATTCCCAAGGAATGCATGAACTAATAAAGTGTACACCTTGAATGCAATAATAGTTGCTTTAAATAAAAAATCTGTCAAATTCATAAATGTAAATTAAGTTGATAAAAATCTATGGACATTTTATTTATGACATCAAAATTTTAGGTTTCTTTCTTTATAGTTGATAACATGATTTTTCACTTCTTTACTTCACAATTTCATTTAAAAATGGTGGTTATGGTAGTTAAATGGATTTTTAAAAGAACGTCTCGGTTACATGTGTAACCCTCGTTCCCTGAAGGAGGGAACGGAGATGTCACGTTGGTGACCGATGAATTGGGAATCTCGCCAGAGAGACCAATCCACTTCGAGTGTAACTAAACGAG